AAAAAAAATAAGATAAACCGAAATATCCAATCTTATTTCAGCCTGTACTCCATTCATCTGACATTCATTTTCTGGTGAGGATAGTGAAGTCAGAATTAGCTTGCTCTTTTCACATTGAAGAAATGCATAGGCAGCTATAGCAAAACTTGTCCAGACTAGTATGTAATCTTATGAATTTTTATTAGTAGGAAATAGGGCTAAATTCTATATATGAAATATAAAACCATACTCGGGAACAGGTAAAAATCTTGACCTTTAAAGGTGTACCATCAAGTGAGCATCATTAGGTGTTTCTAAGTTTTTCTAATGTTTTTTTGGTGTTTAAAATCTTATCATTGAGGAAATTTTTTCCCATTAGACTGTTTATTTATTATTTGTGCGCATGTGTGTCAATTGGGAAAAGTTGCTCTGAGTTTAACTTTTAGTACACCAGTTTTCAGAAGGAGCATATTTTGGGAAACCTCTCTCTAGGTGACATATTTTAATTAATACTTTCTCAATTTGGGTAATTGGGTAGCTAATAAAAAGACTGTTCATTTAAGGGGATATGAGCTTCTTTTTTTCCAATTTTTTTATTGTGGTATAATACACTTAACATAAAATTTACCATCTTAACCATTTTGGGTTGTGCAATTCAGTGGTATTAAATACATTAATAATGTTGTGCAACCATCACCACCATCCATTTCCATAAGTCTTTTCATCTTGTAAAACTGAAATTCTATACTAAGCAAATGTTAGCTTTTGAACTACTATTAGTTTATAATCTGTAATCAAAGATGATAAAATATCTTATTTTCATTATTTTAGTATAAGCCGCCTGCACTTAAAAAGTCAAATTCTCCTGGAACCACATCTTCAGGATCTTCACGATTACCACAGCCGAGTGGTGCTAGCAAAACTGTCATAGGTAATGAAATCCATAAAATAACTTGATTTGTTTTTAAAAACATGTTGGTAGAGAAGGAAATGATAATGGTAGTCTGTTTGGATTAATGAAATAGATTTATAATTAAGAGATGTGAAGGATAAATAATTATTTCTAGGTAAAAATAAAGTAATTTGGGTATTTTATTTTTTTAGCTTAAATGTCTATCCCTGATGTTATTGATGTATCATCTGTTCATAATAGTCCACCAAGTTCTTTTCTTGATTCTTTGACCATAGTATTTTCCCTTCCTTTTTACTTTAGCTTTTTATACCTTTCTGAACTTGACAGGTGTTTTTAATAGACAAATATTTAGTGATTTGAAGAAGATGTTGGCCAATGAAGTATACCGTTGTCTGTATGTAAATTTAAAGAGAGAAATTTAGAAATTCTCAATGAAGGATGGTATATGTTCCCAGCAAATGTCATTTTTCAAAAAATTTTTTTCTTCATTGATAACTTTTGACTTATAGGCATAAAGAATATTACTAAAGCTTTGTTTTCTTTGTCAGATGATCAGTTTTATGTGATTTTTCTTTTTTAAAGTATTGTTAAAACTAATACCTTTTTTATTATAAGGTGTGCCTTCAGGTAAAGTGTCCTCAGTTAGCAGCTCTTTGGGAAACAAACTTCAGACCTTATCTCCCTCTCATAAAGGGATAGCAGTCCCTCAGGCAGGGTAAGTCTTCATTGAATTTAATTTATTAGTGATATGTATTTAAATGATATTAAGGTTTTATTTTGTTTAGGTAATTGGGTTTTTCATTGAACTTAATTTTCTAAGTTAGCATATTACTGATCAGGAGCATACTCATTGCTGTTGAGGATCTAAATTATAAACATTTTGGAAAATAATCTGGTGGTACTTATCAGGAGCCTTAAAAAATTTATATTTTTCAATGAATAATTTTACTTCTGAGAATCTAGTCTAAGGAAATAATTTGAAATATGAAAGGGTTTTATAGTAACTATAATTTGCTAAGCCCTATGTATCAGGCACTGTGCTAGACTTTTTGCATATATTTTTATTAAAACCACCCATGACCATCCTGTATTTTTCAAAAAGTATTTGCAGTATTAGTATTATTCCTTTTTTGTATGTTTCCTAACTTCATCATTGAAGCCACCTAAGCATGGAATTTTCTTTTTTTCTAAGTGTGTTTAACTATTATATCAATTTCTTTGTAGATTCTTCTTGGTGTCAGTTGCCATCATTCACATAATTTGTCTCTTTCCTGTATGTAGTTAATTTATTGACTTGAAAATATTCTCTTTTAATGCGCCCTAGAATTTTCAAGTGACATCCTTTTACATTCCTGCTGCTATGTATTTTGTCTTTTGTTTTGTTCTCACTGATCAGTTTTTTTTTTCCTTGATCAGTTTAGCTAAGAGGTTTATCAATTTTATTACATGTTTTCAAACAAAAAGCTTTTGGCTTCATTGCTCTAGCTGGCATCTCACAGATCTTAATGTTTATTTTTATTATCATTCAATTCAAAATATTCTCTAATTTGTGTGGTTTCTTCTTTTACTCATAGTTTATTTCAAAATGAGTAATTTATTTCCAGATATTTGAGCTTTTCTAGATGTTTTATTATTTATTTTTAATTCAATTTTGTTGTGGTCTGGAAACTTACTTGGGTAAGATTTCCATCTTATTGAGATTTGTTTTATTGCCTAGCAATGGTCCTTTTTGGTGAATGTTACATGGTATTTGGGAAAAAAAGTCTCTTATGCAGTTGCTGAGTTTTGAGTTTTGTAATGTCACTTAGGTTAAAGTGGCTGATCTTTTATGTCCTTTTGACTTTTTGTCTAGATGTTCCATCAGTTACTGAGGGGTATATGTAAAATCTTCAACTATGATTGTGGGTTTTTTCTCGTGTTTCTCATTATATTGCCAGTTTTTGCTTCAGATATTTTGAATTTATCTTTCTTATTTGTATTTACATTTTTAATTGTCATCTTCATTTATTGACTTTTTTTATTCGCATTTTTAGGGGTACAAATTTTAAGATTTCAATAAATGCCCTTTCCCCCCTCCCCCAAAGTCTGAGTTTCCAGCATGACACCTCCCCAGATGGTGCACATCTCAGGCCGGAGTGGTGGCTCACGCCTGTAATCCTAGCACTTGGGAGGCTGAGGTGGGCGATTGCTGGAGGTCAGGAGTTCGAAAGGAGAACTCTTTTATTATTATGAATGCCCCTTTTTGCCTGTGGCGAATTTTTCTTATGTTAAAGTGTATATCATCTGATAAGAATATAACCATTCATCTTATGCTCTTTTCATTTTCTTTCTGTTTCTAATTTAAATTTGTGTTTTGTTATCATTGCAGGCAGCCTTAATTGGTTCTTTGATTTTCTTTGTGTGTGTTTTTTTTAAATCTGATCTGATAACCTCATCTTATGGTGGAAGTGCTTATAGGCATTTACATTGGATGCAATTATTACTGATTTGGTTATGCTTAGGTCTGCTATGTTCTGTCTGTTTTCTGTTTGTCATTAATTTTTTTTTTTTTATTCTTCCGTTACGTTTCTTATCCTTTTGTCTTCATTAAATTATATTTTCTTTTATTGGCTTTCTAGCTATAACTTTTTGTGTTTTTTAAAATGTTCACTGTAGAATAACAATGCATCTTTAACTTATCCCTATCTATGGGTTTATTTTATTTACGTATCATCATCCTTAGTGCTACTGTTAAATGTATGTAATTCTGTAGTCATTATAAACGGATCAGTATTTTTGATGTGTTTGCTATACTTATTGCTTTATTTTTATTACGTATTTATTTTACATTGTAAATTGGCAGATTATAGCTGTATATATTCATGGGTTAAAGTGGATATTATGAATTTATGAATACATGTAGAATAATGAAATCAAGCTAATTATCATATCCATTACCTCAAATCCTTTATCCTTTTTGTGGTAAGAACATTTGAAATTTATTTAATTTATTTATTAATTTATTATTTTAGATACTTCGAAATGTATGGTACATTATATTTACTGCATTTCCATGCTATAGAATTTATTTCAAAGTAAAAAAAAATAATAAAACTATTCTCCTGTCTCATTGAGGATTTACCATTTAACCATAATTTCCCCACTTCCCACATCCAGCCTCTGGTAACATTCTATTCTCTGCTTCTTTGAGTACAGTGTTTTAGATTCCCACATATAAGTTAGAACATGTAGTATCTGTATTTCCATGCCTGCTTATTTCACTTAGCATAATATTCTCCATTCTATCCATATAGTTGGGTCCATGGGTACATTAATGTTATATCAATTCTTGTTTCTATTTGGTTCTTCTGCAAAGTGTTATTTCTTCTTTCTTTCTTTCTTTTTTTTTTTTTTTGAAGGGAGGTTTCAGTAGGCAGTTAAACACAGCTGTGAGTTTTCCATGGTTTTTTCTTAAATCATTTAAAAACATCCTTTTGTTTGTAATTGTTATCTGTAGGAGGGCTATATTAGCCACTTCACTTTTCTACCATTACGTTTGTAATTTCTTATTTTGTTTTTAAATTCTTAAAGTTGGCTATTTTCTAATTATTGTTTCTTATAGTTTCCAATTTCCTGTTAACATTTTCATGGTTGTCTTTATTTTTTTAAGTGTAGTAAGCAAATGTCATTTTAATATGTTGTCTTAATGTAGTGTCAGGTGACTTTTATGGATGTGTCCCTGCGTCTTCCCCCCCCCATTTCATGGTTCTTTGTATCCTTCCCTCCGTGATTATTATTGACTTTTGCTGCTGTTACTCTTAAAATATTTTCATGATGATTATTCATGTGACATGCCTTTTCTCAGAGATTTGCACTTGTTCCTTTTAGGTATCTAAGAGTACTCACAGTCTGGAAATGTTTAAATTAAATTATTGGCTTTAGGCCGGGCGTGGTGGCTCACGCTTGTAATCCTAGCACTCTGGAGGCGAGGCGGGCGGATTGCTCAAGTCAGGAGTTCAAAACCAGCCTGAGCGAGACCCCGTCTCTACTATAAAAATAGAAAGAATCAATTGGCCAACTATATATATATAAAAAAAAATTACCGGGCATGGTGGCTCGTGCCTGTAGTCCCAGCAACTCGGGGGCCTGAGGCAGCAGGATTGCTGAAGCCCAGGAGTTTGAGGTTGCTGTGAGCTAGGCTGACGCCATGGCACTCACTCTAGCCTAGGCAAGAAAGCGAGGACTCTGTCTCAAAAAAAAAAAAAAAAAAAAAAAAAAAAAATTATTGGCTTTAGTTTGTTTGACCAGCCTAATAACAAATTTATACAGCAAATCCATATGATAGCCAGGTTTTTATTACAATCTCACATGGTTTGGCTTGGCAATTCCTTCTTCTCTCATCTGACATTCAGTGCTGTTTCAGTGATATTTTTATACTTTCCTGAGCATTTTTGTTGAAAGGTTGGTCTAAATAGTCCATTCTACCATTTAATCAGAAATGGATGTCCTAAACTTAGTTCTTTAAACTTTTTCCAATTTCAGTAAATAGTCTTTTGTAAGTATAAATATTTACTAATGAAATCTGTTAGATGTGATGAGTGTAAATATACAAGAAAACCCCTAAACAAATATTATAATATGTATATGAATTAATTGTATACATAGGCAATTTAGTTTTTTGATTATTAAAATGGATTTATATAGAATTGTTGATTGATAGAGTCATCCTGAAAATCTTCATAATACCAACAGACTATTGTGGAATGGAAAGAATTCAGCTCAGAAGGAAAGAAGTAAGATTATCTAGGTAGCAAGCAGCAGCAAGATACTGAGAGGCGTGATTATGTTTTAAACAAGAGGCATTCAGTAAGAGAAACTAACATGACTAGTTCTTGTTGAAAGTAATGGGAAATATTATAAGATATAAAGATAAGATTGGTCTAGGTTCTGCATATATCAGAGATCCCTGACAATAAAATTATTCTTAGTAAAACAGTGGGAAGACTCATGTATAGAGGGGAGAAGCAAAGCACCTTTTGAAAGAAATATTCTGCCTTTTATAAAGTATTTTTAGGCCAGTAAGTGAATAATAATTTCTATTGTGTGCATAAAAATCTTTAGTCTCCAGTATGTGATGTTACTAGAGCCCTTTTGCCCATGCCCTGCCTAAAGACTTGACCTCTCCATGTGTAATAGGCCACACCAGCACCCTTCGTTTATACTAATCATTTGTTCCTTTTTGGTAGTTGACAGCACACAGTTGGAGCATGTCACCAGTCCTGGATCCTAATCTAATTTTATTGACTATGTTTAGTAGACATACCCTCTGGTAGCTTGACAAGTCTTGTTAGGTCTTTTTTCCGTATTGCTATTAATATATAAGTCTTTTCTAATGTCTTCATTGGTTTTTTAGTGGAGAGACTGATATTACAGATGCTCTTTTTAAAGCAGAAACATGTCTAATGCTTTAAAGAGTACAGTATCTTTATGCAGTTCATACTTCTCCCAAGTCTTCTAGTCATATGTTCATTTGAAAGACATTTACTGAAAAGTTTTGGTTTTCTTTTTTTTCAAATGCTTAAGAGATTCAGTTTCTGGCATAATAGTGCAAAAGTGCATGGCACTTTTTTGTGACCCTTTATCACAGATTTAATTCTTAAAAGTACATGTACTGAATTTGAAGGGTTAAAATGGTTTTAGCTGGCTGTGCATGGTAGTAGTGCATCTTAAATTTCATACTGATTATTGTTTATAAAATATGATTTGATTTTGAAAATTAGGTTTAAAAATCTATTTTCACATAACATTTTAAGCAATTAAATACTGTATTGTGCTAAATCCCAAGCACACATGCAAGTATAGTTGTCACGTTATATAGTTGAAGCATCAGGTTGGAACTAAGGTGGCATGAATTTAAATTCCTGTGTTAAGTTTGGGCAAATTTATTTCTTCTTATTGGAGCGAAGTAATCGATAAGATGTTTTTGTATTCAGGGAGACTGAGCAAAGTTGGACTCAAAAAAGAGTAGTAAAATTAAATTAATAGTAATATCCATCTAGAGAGTAGAGAAAAAAATAAGATAAACCGAAATAGTTTAAATTTGAATTAATTATGTAGTGAGGTGTATTTTTATCACTTCTCCATCTGTTGGGAAGTTTAAGAGAAAATAACACTGTTTAAAGATGACTAAACTATTTCTTGACAGTTTTCAATTAGACAAAAGATTTTTAATAGATGAGCCCATATTTTAAAAATGTATTTTAATGTTATGTATTATTATTGCTCAACTAGTCTACACATATAAATGTGTATTTATTATGAAAACATATAGAAGCAAAAAAGAAATAACATTTTTCCTATACTTATTTTTTTGTACTGATGATTTATCTTATGTTCTTTTTTTCCCCTCCTCAAATTTGATTCAAAGCCAGGAGAAAATTGAAATTTATCATGTACTAGCAGACCTTTTCTTAAAATTCTTTACTAAATTCAGTCAGTCTAGGTGGTTATAAGGAAACAGAAGTTTTTGCTTTTCAGATGTTATTACTTATGTTATATATCTCAAATGATGTGTCTATAAAAACTTCTGATTTTTAGTGTACATTTCAAGTATTATGTTTTTAATATGTTTCTGTTTTTATCTATTTTAGATTATATCCAATGTCCATATTGCCAGAGGAGATTCAATGAAAATGCAGCTGATAGACATATAAATTTCTGTAAAGAACAGGCAGCACGTATTAGTAATAAAGGCAAATTTTCTGCTGATACCAAAGGAAAACCGACTTCTCGGACACAGGTGATGTGCTCAATTTTGGTTATTTCTACAAATAAATGAGAAAATGGCTCTTTCAAATGTATAGTTTTGTGCTTATAACACAGGACATTAAAATACCATTGTCCTGCTATACACACACACACACACACACACACACATATATATATAAACACCTTTTTATAGGTTATCTGTTTAGTGGAAGAGCTTGGTACATAGTTTTTGTATTTTTCTGGTGTATATTAGAAATATTTTCTCCCATTCGGTGACTTGACTTTTTATTTTCTTTAAAGGTGTCTTTTGTAGAGGATATGTTTTAAAATTCAATCAGGTCTAATTTATTATTTCTTTTATAATACATTCTTTTTTGTGTTGTATCAAAGAAATCTTCTATATCAAGGTTGCAAAGATTTTTTTCCCTTATGTTTTCTAGAAGCTTATAGTTTTAGTTCTTGTATCTATGAATCATTTCAAGCTGACATCTGTGTATAGTATAATATTATATAAAGGGCAATTGTTAATTTTTTTATATGTGGATATTCTATTGTTTCAGCACCATTTGTTGAAAAGATTCTAAATTGCAAATAAATTTTCTAGGAATTTTGGTTGAAAATCAGTTAAATATATATGCATGGGTTTATTTCAGGACATACTGTTCTGTTGCATTGATTTATATGTCCTTTAATCAATACCAGCCTATTGCTATACCGAATATTGTACCTTAAGTCTTAAATCAGGTAATCTAAATTTTCCAACTTGAATTCCTTTTAAAAATTGCTTTGGCTATTCTAGGTTTATATTTATAGATAAATTTTATAAATGATGAAAAATTCTACAAAAAATGACTGCTAGTATTTGAGATTATATTATATCCATAAATCAATTTGGGAAGGATTATCATTTTAATAATACTGAATAGTCCAAATAATGAACTTGTTATATTTTCTACTTATTTGAGTGTTCTTTATTTTAACAATGTTTTATAGTTTTCAGTATAAGTCATATATTTATTGTATTAAATCTTTCCCTGAGTAGTCATGTATTTGGATGCTCTTGTAAGTGGAATTATATTTTATCTCACTTCCATTGTTAATTGCTTGTTTAGTCTGATATTTATAAAACTGGGTTTTTATATATTGATCTTGTACCATGCTATTTTGCTAAATTCACTTATTAATATAATATCTTTCTTACAGATTTCTTAGGAATTTTCTATGTATACAATCATGTCACCTGTAAATAAGGACAGTTCTATTTTCTCCTCTCCAGCCTTTTTTATTTTTTTGTGTGATTTACTGTATTATCTAGAACTTCTAGTGCAGTGTTGAATAGAAGTGATGGGAGCATACATTCTTGCCTTGTTTCTATGCTTAGGTGAAAAGCATTCTGTTTTTTACCATTGAGTATGTTGTTAGCTGTGGGTTTTTGTCTGTGTTCTTTGTCAAGTTAAGAAAGTTTTCTTCTCTTCTCTGGGACTTTTTTTTTCCTTCTGAACTATTGGTGGGTTTTGAATTTGTTGAATGCTCATTCTTTATGTGTTAAAATGAAGTATGTTTATTTTCCCTTATTCTATTAATATGATGTATTGCACTGATTGGTTTTCAGATATTAAGCCAAATTTGCATTCCATTAATACATTTCATTTCCTTATGAATTGTTATCCTTTTTATATAAGTTGATATATTGTTGGATTTGATATGCCAAAATTTTATTAATAATTTTTGCATCTATTGTCATGAGGAATACTGATCTAGTTTGGCTAGTTTTGGTGTCAGGGTAATACTGGCCTCATAATGGGTTTGTGTTTATTTCCTCCTGTATTTTTTCAAAAAGTATTTGCAGTATTAGTATTATTCCTTTTTTGTATGTTTCCTACACTTCATCATTGAAGCCACCTAAGCATGGAATTTTCTTTTTTCTAAGTGTTTTAACTATTATATCAATTTCTTTGTAGATTCTTCTTGGTGTCAGTTTTGGCAGTTGCCATCATTCACATAATTTGTCTCTTTCCTGTATGTAGTTGAATTTATTGACTTGAAAATATTCTCTTTTAATGCCTCTAGAATTTTCAGTGACATCCTTTTACATTCCTGCTGCTAGTATTTTGTCTTTTGTTTTGTTCTCACTGATGAGTTTTTTTTTTTCCTTGATCAGTTTAGCTAGAGGTTTATCAATTTTATTACATGTTTTCAAACAAAAAGCTTTTGGCTTCATTGCTCTAGCTGCATCTCACAGATCTTAATGTTTATTTTTATTATCATTCAATTCAAAATATTCTCTAATTTGTGGTTTCTTCTTTTACTCATAGTTTATTTCAAAATGAGTAATTTATTTCCAGATATTTGAGGCTTTTCTAGATGTTTTATTATTTATTTTTAATTCAATTTTGTTGTGGTCTGGAAACTTACTTGGTAAGATTTCCATCTTATTGAGATTTGTTTTATTGCCTAGCATATGGTCCTTTTTGGTGAATGTTACATGGTATTTGGGAAAAAAAGTCTCTTATGCAGTTGCTGAGTTTTGAGTTTTGTAATGTCACTTAGGTTAAAGTGGCTGATCTTTTATGTCCTTTCTGACTTTTTGTCTAGATGTTCCATCAGTTACTGAGGGGTATATGTTAAAATCTTCAACTATGATTGTGGGTTTTTTCTGTGTTTCTCATTATATTTGCCAGTTTTTGCTTCAGATATTTTGAATTTCTCTTCTTATTTGTATTTACATTTTTAATTTGTCATCTTCATTTATTGACATTTTTTTTTATTTCGGCATATTATAGGGGTACAAATTTTAAGATTTCAATAAATGCCCTTTCCCCCCCTCCCCCCACAAGTCTGAGTTTCCAGCATGACCATCCCCCCCCAGATGGTGCACATCTCAGGCCGGAGTGGTGGCTCACGCCTGTAATCCTAGCACTCTGGGAGGCTGAGGTGGGCGGATTGCTGGAGGTCAGGAGTTCGAAAGGAGACTCTTTTATTATTATGAAATGCCCCTTTTTGCCTGTGGCAATTTTTCTTATGTTAAAGTGTATATCATCTGATAAGAATATAACCATTTCATCTTATGCTCATGTATTTTCTTTCTGTTCTCTAATTTAAATTTGTGTTTTTGTATCACTTGCAGGCAGCCTGTAATTGGTTCTTGATTTTCTTTGTGTGTGTTTTTTTTAAAATCTGATCTGATAACCTCATCTTATTGGTGGAAGTGCTTAGGCATTTACATTGGATGCAATTATTACTGATTTGGTTATGCTTAGGTCTGCTATGTTGCTGTCTGTTTTCTGTTTTGTCATTAATTTTTTTTTTTTTTATTCTTCCGTTACTTGTTTCTTATCCCTTTTGTCTTCATAAAATAAATTTTATTTTCTTTATTGGCTTTCTAGCTATAACTTTTTGTGTTTTTTTAAAATGTTCACTGTAGGAATAACAATGCATCTTTAACTTATCCCTATCTATGGGTATTTTTATTTACGTATCATCATCCTTAGTGCTACTGTTAAATGTATGTAATTCTGTAGTCATTATAAACGGATCAGTATTTTTGATGAGTATTGCTATACTTATTGCTTTATTTTTATTTACGTATTTATTTTACATTGTAAATTGGCAGATTATAGCTGTATATATTCATGGGGTACAAAGTGATATTATGATTTATGAATACAATGTAGAATAATGAAATCAAGCTAATTATCATATCCATTACCTCAAATCCTTATCCTTTTTGTGGTAAGAACATTTGAAATTTATTTTAATTTATTTATTTAATTTATTTATTTTAGATACTTCGAAATGTATGGTACATTATTATTTACTGCATTTGCCATGCTATAGAATTTATTTCAAAGTAAAAAAAAATAATAAAACTATTCCTCCTGTCTCATTGAGGATTATACCATTTAACCATAATTTCCCCACTTCCCCACATTCCCAGCCTCTGGTAACATTCTATTCTCTGCTTCTTTGAGTTACAGTGTTTTAGATTCCACATATAAGTTAGAACATGTAGTATCTGTATTTCCATGCCTGGCTTATTTCACTTAGCATAATATTCTCCATTCTATCCATATAGTTGGGTCCATGGGTACATAATATGTTATATCAATTCTTGTTTCTATTTGGTTCTTCTGCAAAGTGTTATTTCTTCTTTCTTTCTTTCTTTTTTTTTTTTTTGATGGGAGGTTTCAGTAGGCAGTTAAACACAGCTGTGAGTTTTCCATGGTTTCTTGTCTCTTAAAATCATTTAAAAACAATCCTTTTGTTGTAATTGTTATCTGTAGGAGGGCTATATAGCCACTTCACTTTTCTACCATTATGTTTGTAATTTCTTATTTTGTTTTTAAATTCTTAAAGTTGGCTATTTTTCTAATTTATTGTTTCTTATAGTTTCCAATTTCCTGTTAACATTTTCATGGTTGTCTTTTATTTTTTTAAGTGTAGTAAGCATAATTGTATTTTAATATGTGTCTTATAATTGTAGTGTCAGGTGACTTTTATGGATGTGTCCCTGCTGTCTTCCCCCCTCCCCATTCATGGTTCTTTGTATCCTTCCCTCCGTGATTATTATTGACTTTTGCTGCTTGTTACTCTTAAAATATTATTCATGATGATTATTCATGTGACATGCCTTTTTTCAGAGATTTGCACTTTAGGTATCTAAGAGTACTCACAGTCTGGAAATGTTTAAATTAAATTATTGGCTTTAGTTTGTTTGACCAGCCTAATAACAAATTTATACAGCAAATCCATATGATAGCCAGGCTTTTATTACAATCTCACATGGTTTGGCTTGGCAATTCCTTCTTTCTCTCATCTGACATTCAGTGCTTTTACAGTGATATTTTTATACTTTCCTGAGCATTTTTAGTTGAAAGGTTGGTCTAAATAGTCCATTCTACCATTTAATCAGAAATGGATGTCCTAAACTTAGTTCTTTAAACTTTTTCCAATTTCAGTAAATAGTCTTTGTAAGTATAAATATTTTACTAATGAAATCTGTTAGATGTGATGAGTATAAATATACCAAGAAAACCCCTAACAAATATTATAATATGTATATGAATTTAATTGTATACATAGGCAATTTAGTTCTTTTGATTATTAAAATGGATTTATATAGAATTGTTGATTGATAGAGTCATCCTGAAAATCTTCATAATACCAACAGACTATTGTGGAATGGAAAGAATTCAGCTCAGAAGGAAAGAAGTAAGATTATCTAGGTAGCAGAGCAGCAAGATACTGAGAGGCGGGTGATTATGTTTTAAACAAGAGGCATTCAGTAAGAAAACTAACATGACTAGTTCTTGTTGAAAGTAATGGGAAATATTATAAGATATAAAGATAAGATTGGTCTAGGTTCTGCATATATCAGAGATCCCTGACAATAAAATTATTCTTAGTAAAACAGTGGGAAGACCTCATGTATAGAGGGGAGAAGCAAAGCACCTTTTGAAAGAAATATTCTGCCTTTTTATAAGTATTTTTAGGCCAGTAAGTGAATAATAATTTCTATTGTGTGCATAAAAATCTTTAGTCTCCAGTATGTGATGTTACTAGAGCCCTTTTTGCCCATGCCCTGCCTAAAGACTTGACCTCTCCATGTGTAATAGGCCACACCAGCACCCTTCGTTTATACTAATCATTTTGTTCCTTTTTGGTAGTTGACAGCACACAGTTGGAGCATGTCACCAGTCCTGGATCCTAATCTAATTTTATTGACTATGTTTAGTAGACATACCCTCTGGTAGCTTGACAAGTCTTTGTTAGGTCTTTTTTCCGTACTGCTATTAATTATAAAGTCTTTTCTAATGTCTTCATTGGTTTTTTAGTGGGAGAGACTGATATTACCAGATGCCTTTTTAGAGCAGAAACATGTCTAATGCTTTAAAGTACAGTATCTTTATGCAGTTCATACTTCTCCCAAAGTCTTCTAGTCATTGTTCATTTGAAAGACATTTACTGAAAAGTTTTGGTTTTCTTTTTTTCAAATGCTTAAGAGATTTCAGTTTCTGGCATAATAGTGCAAAATGTGCATGGCACTTTTTTTGTGACCCTTTATCAAGATTTAATTCTTTAAAAGTACATGTACTGAATTTGAAGGGTTAAAATTGGTTTTAGCTGGCTGTGCATGGTAGTAGTGCATCTTAAATTTCATACTGATTATTGTTTATAAAATATGATTTGATTTTGAAAATTAGGTTTAAAAGTCTATTTTTCACATAACATTTTAAGCAATTTAAATACTGTATTGTGCTAAATCCCAAGCACACATGCAAGTATAGTTGTCACGTTATATAGTTGAAGCATCAGGTTGGAACTAAGGTGGCATGAATTTTAAATTCCTGTGTTAAGTTGGGGCAAATTCATTTCTTTCTATTGGAGCAAGTAATCGATAAGATGTTTTTGTATTCAGGGAACTGAGCAAAGTTGGACTCAAAAAGAGGTAGTAAAATTAAATTAATAGTAATATCCATCTAGAGAGTAGAGAAAAAAAATAAGATAAACCGAAATATCCAATCTTATTTCAGCCTGTACTCCATTCATCTGACATTCATTTTCTGGTGAGGATAGTGAAGTCAGAATTAGCTTGCTCTTTTCACATTGAAGAAATACATAGGCAGCTATAGCAAAACTTGTCCAGACTAGTATGTAATCTTATGAATTTTTATTAGTAGGAAATAGGGCTAAATTCTATATATGAAATATAAAACCATACTCGGGAGCAGGTAAAAATCTTGACCTTTAAAGGTGTACCATCAAGTGAGCATCATTAGGTGTTTCTAAGTTTTTCTAATGTTTTTTTGGTGTTTAAAATCTTATCATTGAGGAAATTTTTTCCCATTAGACTGTTTATTTATTATTTGTGTGCATGTGTGTCAATTGGGAAAAGTTGCTCTGAGTTTAACTTTTAGTACACCAGTTTTCAGAAGGAGCATATTTTGGGAAACCTCTCTCTAGGTGACATATTTCTCAATTTGGGTAATTGGGTAGCTAATAAAAAGACTGTTCATTTAAGGGGATATGAGCTTCTTTTTTTCCAATTTTTTTATTCTGGTATAATACACTTAACATAAAATTTACCATCTTAACCATTTTGGGTTGTGCAATTCAGTGGTATTAAATACATTAATAATGTTGTGCAACCATCACCACCATCCATTTCCATAAGTCTTTTCATCTTGTAAAACTGAAATTCTATACTAAACGAATGTTAGTTTTTGAACTACTATTAGTTTATAATCTATAATCAAAGATGATAAAATATCTTATTTTCATTATTTTAGTATAAGCCGCCTGCACTTAAAAAGTCAAATTCTCCTGGAACCACATCTTCAGGATCTTCACGATTACCACAGCCGAGTGGTGCTAGCAAAACTGTCATAGGTAATGAAATCCATAAAATAACTTGATTTGTTTTTAAAAACATGTTGGTAGAGAAGGAAATGATAATGGTAGTCTGTTTGGATTAATGAAATAGATTTATAATTAAGAGATGTGAAGGATAAATAATTATTTCTAGGTAAAAATAAAGTAATTTGGGTATTTTATTTTTTTAGCTTAAATGTCTATCCCTGATGTTATTGATGTATCATCTGTTCATAATAGTCCACCAAGTTCTTTTCTTGATTCTTTGACCATAGTATTTTCCCTTCCTTTTTACTTTAGCTTTTTATACCTTTCTGAACTTGACAGGTGTTTTTAATAGACAAATATTTAGTGATTTGAAGAAGATGTTGGCCAATGAAGTATACCGTTGTCTGTATGTAAATTTAAAGAGAGAAATTTAGAAATTCTCAATGAAGGATGGTATATGTTCCCAGCAAATGTCATTTTTCAAAAAATTTTTTTCTTCATTGATAACTTTTGACTTATAGGCATAAAGAATATTACTAAAGCTTTGTTTTCTTTGTCAGATGATCAGTTTTATGTGATTTTTCTTTTTTAAAGTATTGTTAAAACTAATACCTTTTTTATTATAAGGTGTGCCTTCAGGTAAAGTGTCCTCAGTTAGCAGCTCTTTGGGAAACAAACTTCAGACCTTATCTCCCTCTCATAAAGGGATAGCAGTCCCTCAGGCAGGGTAAGTCTTCATTGAATTTAATTTATTAGTGATATGTATTTAAATGATATTAAGGTTTTATTTTGTTTAGGTAATTGGGTTTTTCATTGAACTTAATTTTCTAAGTTAGCATATTACTGATCAGGAGCATACTCATTGCTGTTGAGGATCTAAATTATAAACATTTTGGAAAATAATCTGGTGGTACTTATCAGGAGCCTTAAAAAATTTATATTTTTCAATGAATAATTTTACTTCTGAGAATCTAGTCTAAGGAAATAATTTGAAATATGAAAGGGTTTTATAGTAACTATAATTTGCTAAGCCCTATGTATCAGGCACTGTGCTAGACTTTTTGCATATATTTTTATTAAAACCACCCATGACCATAGAATAATAGAGTCAGAGAAGCAAAATAAAATCATATAGCTATTAAAAGTTAGAAACAGAATATAAATTAAGGTCTTTTGGGCTCTAAGCATTGTACTCTTTTCACATGTTTTTATTGTAACGTAAAAAAGAAAAAGTAAAATCACCTAAATGTCTAGCTTTGTTTGAAGAATAAATTATGAAAATCTACACAGGAATATTTTGCAACCATAAAATATATATACGTTTTAATAAGATGATTCTATAACGAGAGAAAGATATAGATACAAAACTCCATGTATAGAATGATGGAAACTATAAAAATATATGCAGACAAAAAAGATAAAATATCTTGAAATGTGAATAGTGGGGTGCTTCTTTTCATTTAATAAACTTTTTAAATATTTTCTTTCTACAGTTTTATATATAAGACTTTTAATGAAATAGCATAATTAAACTTTAATAATATATTTTAATATGGGAAAAGTTAATAACACTAGAGAATTTAATATAAAGCCACCAATTTCTAGAAACTCACTTTCTCTTCTATTTTGATAAATCAGAAAATGAAGGGATTGCCACAGGACCATTAGAATGAAGAATTATGTCTATATCTTCACATATACTGATATAATTGATGAAGGAAATATAGCTCATGTTATTTTCAAGTATAGGTCTTTTGTGGCTCACATCCACTTTGGTTTTTATGTGGGAAATATATATATAAGGGTATCTGTGATATGAGAGTAACTACCAAAGTTTCTCAATTCAGACTACATAGAAAAAGCAAGACCTAAAAGGAGTTTAAAGTAATTATCACTCATGGGAAAAAATGAACTAGCAAGATCTGATGAGTTAAATTTTTTTTCTTATTATTGTGCCTCCAGAAAGAAGAGATAGGCTATCTGTAAGAAAGAGACAGGTTATCAGTAGACTAGGTAGTTGAAAAGTAAAAGATTCACAAATTCCAGTGGTAACAAACTAATTTGATTTTTTTTCTTCTCTGGAATTGACTCATTGGATAGTTAAGTGAACTACAGATACAGCCGTACGTGCTTTAATTTTACAAAGCCTTTTAACCATTTACCAGGAAGAATTGCCTTCCATGCTAGGTTATAGTGTGTGTTTTTAGTATTGTTTATAGTTTTATTTACAGTTGATTATGAATTAAAAGCTGCTATTTTTCATACCTCTCCTGTCATACTGGTGATTTTATCAGTTGGCAATATTAAGTTGAACTGACACACTTTATTCTTAGATAGGGCATATGAAGCTGGCTGGTGTAATGAAAAGAAGTGCTGACTTGGAGTCAGAAAGCCAGGCTTCTATATCCTATGGTGCCATAAATATCTATATGACTTATATGATTTTGGACATATCTCTTTCTGTCTCACGTTGAAAACATTCTGTCCTTCTGCTTAAATGTTGAAAACTGATCTAAGAAAATCTGACCATCATATATATGATCCCTATGGGAAAATATGCTTTTACTAAGTTAGAGATTTTGAGCACAATAATTTTGTGAGGTGTGGACTGCTTATAATACCATTAAGATTAAAAATTTTTGGTTGTCCTATATCATGTAAAACTGTCAATCATATTTGTTCAGATTTTGATTGTCCATTTTATATAGAATCCTTACATGTTAAAAGAGGTTTTCCAACTATTTGTGTTTGCTTCTGGCCAAAATATTACTATACTAACTGGAACATTACTATATTAGTGTATTAAATTAGAACCATTCTCTGTCTCTATGGTTATCAGTTAAATAAAAAATAAATAAACAGGAAAGAGAGAAGGAAAGAAAGAAAGAACCATTCATGGCTGTTTAGTGGCCGAGTTTGTTCCTTTTTTTTATTTTTTTTTTAGAATTATTGAAGTAATGATTTATTTGTTTCCCTTACTATGTTGTAAGCTTCATGATGGCACAGACCATGTCTGCCTTGCTTCCAGACTCAACTATAAAATCTAGCAGAATGCTTCGAATATAGGCCCACAATTATATTTTGGTGAATAAGTGAAAGAAAAGAAATTAAATCTTCCTCATCTGTAAACCTGTTGGCAGGTCATAGAATTACGGGTCCTGATACAAGTGAAAGAATTACTTGAAGTTTGTATGGCAACCATTATTTCAGTTTATACAGATGATGCAGGATTGAGTAAAGGTGTAGTTAAGACATCCGGTTAGCTGTAACATTCAAGAAATTTCTCAGCTTCTGCTGAGATTAGTAAATGACATGTCAGTGACTTGTGATTATTTAAAACCTGGTGTATTAATATATAATCTTTATTGTGGTCCACTTTTATCTGTCATAGGAGTGATCTGTAATGTATTAGAGTCATGTCACATAAAAATTTCTTTTTATACTTGGAAAAATTCTTATGTTTGGTAGTTGACTTCTAGAAAACCTGTGGGTTAACTTTAACAGATTTTTTTTTAAAAGAAAATACATGCAAGTGGAAAAATATTCCCTTCTTCTAAAAGATGATTGTCTTTATTTCTAGGAAATTCTAGAAGTAGAATGAAATACAGAGCTTTAAATAAATATTGTCCCATTTCAATTGTGTCATAGAGTTTACACAATCGTACCCTGAAAATTGTGTTTTCTTAACAGTTTACTACCAGTTTAAATGGATATTTAGTTAATAATTTTCAGTAGCTAAAATATTAGATTTCAGAGGTTTAGTTCTGTTCAGTAACTATGAAAACCATAATTTGGAGATCAACTATAATAGATGTGATAAAATTAGAAGAACATAATGCATGTGCAGAGCATTTTTTTAACTAAGTGAATTTGGTTTTTCATAAGTTCTTACATAAAAATGTTAAGAAGTAAATATCTTTAGTTTTTAAGTACATTTTTGTGTGAGTGCGAACATGTTTTTCTCATAAGCCGATATGTTGATTTGTGGGAATTGAGTATGTGTGGAGCATTATTTAAATTTTTATGAACATTTTTATCTTCTTTTTTTTTCTGTCCCTTCGCCAATTTTTTTTTTTTCGGCATATTATGGGGGTACAGATTTTAAAGTTTCAATAAATGCCCATCGTTCCCCCTCCCCCACAGATCTGAGTCTCCATCATGACCATCCCGCAATGGTGCACATCGTCACTCGATTATGTATGTACTATACTCGCCCCCCCCCCCCACTCTGGCCCAATACCCGTATTGCACTCGTAGTTATCTATGTGTCCACTAGTTGCTACTCAGTTAATAAACAGTGTTGCTGGAGAATATAGTCTGATGCTTTCTCCATTCTGGGGATACTTCACTTAGTAGATCGGTCAGCCTCTAACCAGGAAAATGTAAGATGGTATACTCACCATCTGTTTCTTCAGAGCGTGAATAGTACTCCATTGGTATGTACTATTTGATACCCATTTATGTAATCCTTCTTGGATTGATCAACTTGGGCTGTTTTCCACAGCCATTGCAATTATGATTGCTGCTATAAACATTGCACGTGCAGGTGTCTTTTTCTGTAGCAGTGTCATTGGATCCATTTGGTCAGATGCCCAGCAATAGGATTGCTGGATCAATGGTAGATTCACCTTGTATCGCTTTACAGGTATCTCCATATTGCTTCCACAGAGGTTGAACTAGTTTGCAGTCCCACCAGCAGTGTAGCGAGTGTTCCTCCTCTCTGCAACCACGCGCAGCATTATTGTTTGGAGATTTTTTGATAAAGGCCATTCTCACTGGGGTTAACGTGATATCTCATTGTGGGTTTTGATTTGCATTTCCCTGATGATTAGAGATGTTGAGCATTTTTTCATATGTTTGTTGCCATTCTTCTGTCTTCTTAGAAAAGTTTCTGTTCAAGTCTTTCTGCCCACTTCTTAAGGGTTATTTGCATTTTTTCTTCCTGATTTTCTGAGTTTCTAAGTATATTCTATTATCAGTCCCTTATCGATGCATAGAATGCAAAAATTTTCTCACCATTCTGAGTTGTCTGTTACTTTCATCGACTATTCTTTGCAGTGCAGAACTTTGTAGTTCTGATCATCTCATTTATTTATTCTTGTTCTGGCTGTGATTGCCATCTTGGTGACTTTCTTGCATAAACTCTTGCCGCACGGCTGTTCCAGGAGAGTGTTCAATTTTTCCTCTAGAGTTCTAATAGTTTCATACCTTTAGCGTTACATCTGTACTCCAGCGTGAAGTTGGCTTTTTGAGAAGGTGAAAGTGTGGTCCTGTTTTAGCCTTCTACAGGATGGCCTATCCATTTTCCCAGCACCAATGTTATTGATAAAGGGATTATTTTCCAAACAGTGTATGTTTGTTGCTCCCGCTTCAACAGATAGCATGGCTATATGCAGGACTGGTGTTTATATCGGATTCTCAGATCTGTTCCACTGGTCAATATCCTATTTTGTGCCAATCCCATATTGTTTAATACTACAGTGATTGTCAGTATAGTTTCCATCGGCATATTATGCCCCCATTTCTTTTTGTTGCCTAAATTGCTCTTGATAGTCGGGGTTTTCTTCCTGCGTTCCCATACGAACAGCGTAAATTATTCTTTCTCTATACTCTTGAAGAAGTCGATGGATTTTGAATACGTCTGCATGAACCTGTACCGATCAGTTGGGCTACCCTAGCATCTTGTCGAAGTGAAACCTGTGCTCTGCGACGCCTCCACGAGCCATG